GGGAGCAGCTACACAGCACAGAGAGTCCAGACAACAGAGAGAGCCCAGTCTGCAGAGACAGACTACAGCTCAGGTATGTAAAGAGGCAGCAGGGAGACATGGTGACACTGAGACACTAGGGGACACTAGGGGACACTGGGAGATGTGGGGACACTGAGACACTTGGGGACACTGAGACACTTGGGGACCCTGGGAAACATGGGGACGCTGAGACACATGGAGACGTTGTGAGACATAGGGAGACACATTGGGACACGAGACACTAGGGACACAGTGTCCCCATGTCTCCCAGCCAGTGTCTCAGTGTCCCCTAGGCTCCCAGTATCCCCTAGTCTTTCAGTCTCCCAGTGTCTGTGTCCCCATGTCTCTCAGTGTCCCCATGTCTCTCAGACAGTATCTGTGTCCCCATGTCTCTCAGTGTCCCTATGTCTCCCAGTCAGAGTCCCTAGTGTCTCAATGTCCCCATGTCTCCCAGTGTCTGTGTCCCCATGTCTCTGTGTCCCTAGTGTCCCCATGTCTCCCAGTGTCCCCAAATGTCTCACTATACCCATGTCTCCCAGTGTCCCCATGTTTATGTCCACTAGTGCCCCCATATCTCCATATCAGTGTCTCAGTGCCCCCATGTCTTCCAGTGTCCCCTGGTCTCACAGTATCCCCATTTCTCACTGTGTCCCCATGTCTCTCAGTGTCCCCTAGTATCCTAGTGACACGGGACACACATGGGACACTGGGAGAAATGGGGACACAGACACTGGGAAACTAGGGGACTGGGCGATATGGGGACACTGACACTGTGATACATAGGGACACTGATGCCAGGCTGGACTTCCAATTCTTTGGACAGACATGCCCCTTTTTGGGCATGTTTGCCCCTTTTGGCAGTTTGGGTCACGTGATTTGTGTCAGTGGCCCACCCTTTTACCCCGCCCATTGACTTCCTGCTTCACTGGACACTGCTGTTATGGGGTATGGATTTACTTGAAAGATGAAAGCATAAATTAGATAAAGAGATTAGCATAGAGTATGTGTTTTCTTATAGCCCTCCAACAGCAAATCCATCAGATACATGACACTTGAGAGGTATGACTGTTTTAGTGTTTTTGTCAATAAGACTCTGTAATTAGCCCCCCTCATAACTGTCAGCTCCAGGCCCACTGGGCTCTTAATCTGGCCCTGAATAGACGCAAGTCTTTTTTCATTCTGTATAACTATGTAACTGCATTACTCTATTTATATCATATTTTGAAATATTCTCTAGTTATCCTAAAATGTCAGGTTAGGTTTAACACTTTATCAGCATTAACATAGCAATTTTAATAGAGATAAAATCACTTGCTGCAATTTGTTAGTTATTAACACTGGAATCATTAAAATTTGTATCATAAATAATTATAATCTGTTCTGTTTTCAAATTAAAGTATAATTATAAATGTATAATTTTTCACTTCATAATTTATATTCTATACACGACACCTTGCATTTTGGAACATAGGTTGCATCGAACAAAGTTTTATTGAAGACTTGAAAAATTCTGCACTTCCACAGATAAATGTAATTTTTTTACTATATCACCTGACTTTCAAAATGTTTAATTAGTACAGTACGCTAGAATAAAAATCATGTGAAGAAAGAAATCCATCTACATTTCAAAATGTCATCGCATTTTGAAATAATTCTCTGCTTAGCCATTATAAATCACTCGGCATAAGAGAAATATGAAGGTCTGTTAAATACTTCTTCTCCTTATATTTTACATGACAAAGTTAACCCTAAGAGCTAATGATCTGTTGAGATAACATAAAACACTGTTCTTTATTACCATAAAAATGTTATGCACCAGAGAACAATTTCACTTTGTTTGAACACACATTTGCAAATCTCAATAAGTCAGAAGAAAAATATACAAATAAAGACGTAAAACAAAAACTGTGAAGCTTTGTGCATTTGTTCCTCCCTGCTGTGCATGAGTCATCACATTCCCTGCTAGCTATTATAAGTGCATATATTTGCTTCTAATGTCATATACTCCCAATAAATCAATTGTACTGCTCTTAAAGAAACTATTTAGAAGATATGCTTCACCTGCTTTAAAAGCTATCTATCACTGAAAATCAAACAAAGCACTCTAAAATATAAAATTAAATAGAAAATCTCATATGACTACTGATGATTCTAGTAATGGTTATAAATGCACCGTTTAGAAGGCTAGATAGACATGTTCACTATTATGTCAAGATATTTCCAATATTTTGAAATCATCATATCACTTGAAATGAATACCACAACAACAGTTCTTGTGATGCAGTTTTGTACATCATTTTAGTACTTCTCTGACTTAAAGGGACACTCCAGGCACCCAGACCACTTCTGCCCATTGGAGTGGTCTGGGTGCCAACTCCCACTACTCTTAACCCTGCAAGTGTAATTATTGCAGTTTTTTATAAACTGCAATAATTACCTTGCAGGGTTAACTCCACCTAGTAGACAGCCACTAGAGGGCCCTTACTTGTCCACAGCACAGAAAATCTCTGCTAGAGCGTCGCTGGAGGTCCTCACGCTGTGTGAGGACCTCCAGCGTCGCTCATTTCCCCATAGGAAAGCATTGAAATGCATTTTCAATGCCTTCCTATGGGGAACGCTAATGCGCATGCACGGCATTGCCACACATGCGCATTAGGTCTCCCCGGCCGGTGGGCGGGATTAGTCTCGCCCAAAGACCGACGCAATGCAGAGGGGGAGCGGCGGCAGAAGAGGAAGCAGCGACGAGGGACATCGTAGCTGCCTCAGGTAAGTTACTGAAGGTATTTTTACCCCTTCAGCAACCGGGGATTGGGGGGTGGGAGGCAGAGGGGACCTGGCACTGGAGTTTCCTTTTAATGCACTCAAAAAGTCTATAGTCTCTTCTTTATTAACTGCTGATTGTAGTCAGGGTCCTCAAATGACAAATCAGTAATAATAATACCCTGCCACCCCCAATGAAAACAAGCATGTAATAAATTATGCATTTTTTTATTTGAGTATGTCTGAAAATAGCATGCAAATCCTCCCCTTCTAACCCCATCCATTCTTTTGGTGGCTGTCCAATCACAGACATCCCAATACAATTCAATGAAAAGTCTTCTGAGCATTTACTGCTTCTTGAGCTGAGCTCCACTGAGTTAAACAACAATGAAGTAACAGGACCAATTGTCTGATTGATATCCAGAGGGTGTAACAAGGTTAAGTTATAAAAATGCCAATTTCTTTTGAAATCAGCACTTTGTGTAAATTAAACAAATAAGGTTCTTCACATGTAAAGCAGTTTAGCAATCTCAAGTGATTTAGGGGTCTGCACTGTACCTTAAAAACAGTTCTGAATGCTAGAAGTAAGTAAACAACCAACTTTCAAATACCTTGCAAGTATCCAGTAACCATCTGCATTCACCATTTGCACTACTACCTCATGGCATCTAGTTTAGAAAGTATGAGAGTGGTCTTAAATTAACACTATAGCATTAAGAATACAAGCATGCATTCCTAACGCTATAGTTTTAAGCTACCTGTTGTCCTCCTTTGCTGTGTGAGGGTTTGAATAGTGAGTGTTACTTACCTTTTAGCCCTCAATGCACCAGTTTCCACAATGCTCATCTGCCTCACTACTAATAGTGGTGGTGGTGGTGGTTGTCAGCAGTTCTCATAGTCAAAGTGTTCAAACTCTCAGAAGGCATGTCACTGCTGATGGGAGATATGGGGAAAATACCTTTTCCCCTACACCTACCGTTCCTAAATGTCATTCTGGGATTAGTGTGTGACACTGATAATGGTTGGCTTGTTATTTTTTATTCCAATAAATTAGGTATATGAATGATTGTATATTGTATAAAGTAACAGTACAGAGTTCAGCAAAAATAGGTGTCTGTGTTGCAGAATTGGTTGCTGCTCGTTGAGTTTACTACTGTAAAACTAATATGTTTGAGATTAGGAAACAGTGCTCACACACTTGCACAACACACACTGGACTGAATACACTTAAATATATATATATATATGTATTGATAACCTAGGAGAAATGACAACACAGTTGTTTCAAGTACCCCTTGTAATAAATATATAGATAGCAGCAAGCTAAACCTAGTCAAGGTAAACCTAATCAATGACCTAGGCTATCTTTTTTTGGACAAGAGATCCCGAAAATAAGATGCTAATTTGCCAGCATCAAAATAAAAACCAAAATATTCTCCATTCCATTCCTAATTTTCCTGTTGCCTAGAAAGGCACTGCAAATCAAGAACTGAAACCAGCATGTTCCAGCTTGCACACGTTGCATGAGGGTTTGGAAAAGATTCTGGCACATAATTTGAAAATCGGAATTTTAGCCAATCGCTCACTTAGCCTGAATTTGGCTGAATTGAAGTTCGACCCAAAACAAATCTACAAGTCTAAAATTTATATCATGGCTCAAAATTTCCACTCACATTTGCTCATACTGCTAGGTCAGTAGGATTTCAGATCTTGGCTTCTATCCAGCAGCTTGCAAAATGCCAATAACAGAGTGATTAACAAGCTGAAGCTGTGAGGTCAGGGTCAGACTACACTTTGACTTTCACTTCCAGCACAGCACAATTTAACACTATCAGTGCATAGGAGAAGCACTCAGTCACATGCTGTATACAGATCAGAAATCAGGCCGACCTTGCATGCAATGTTCAGCCTGTCTGACACTGATATGGGTCCATGTGCTGCCGGTAACTGATTCAGGGCTACACCTTTTCAACGATTAGCATTATATACCTTATGAGTGGTTATTTTTGTATAGAATGTAACTAAAGCATTCATATTATGTATGCATATGCAGGGCCGCCATCAGGGAGTGACAACCATGACGGTTGTCATGGGCCCGGCAGTCCTGGGGGCCCGGACTGCTCTGGCAGTCCCGGGCCCCACTTTCCCTCTCTGCACACATAGATAGCGAATATCGCTATCTATGTGTGCAGCTGCGGGCCCCCTGGCTCCCTGTTACCGCAGAGGGGGCCCAGCACACAGCTTCTACTCTTCTCTTCGCCTCTCTTCCAATAACTCTCGCAAGACCGGCGGCCTTCTGAGCTTTGCCATGGCAATGCTCCGCACGGCACGCAGGCCGCGGGTCTCGCGAGAGTAATTGGAAGAGAGGAGAAGAGAAGAGTAGAAGCTGTGTGCTGGGCCCCATGTGTGCTGGGCTGCGGTAACAGGGAGCCGGGGGGGGGGTGCGGGGGCATGCCACCAGACCACCAGGGATGGAATCTCCCCCCTCCCTGGACACAGGTAAGAAGCAGGGAGGGCGAGAAACATTTAATTAAATTAATATAAAATGAATGTGAAAATGCCCCTTTCTCCCCCCCCCCCACCCCCAGATGCACATTTACACACACAAACTGCATAAACTAATACCACACACACACTGCATACACTAATACAACACACACACACTACATACACTCATACAACACACACACTACATACACTCATACAACACACACACTGCATACACTAATACAACACACACACTGCATACACTAATACAACACATACACACTACATACACTCATACAACACACACACTGCATACACACACACACTGCATACACTAACACAACACACACACACTGCGTACACTAATACAACACACACACTGTATACACTAATACAACACACCCGCTGCATACACTAATACAACACACACACACTGCATACACTAACACAACACACACACACACACTGACACTGCATACACTTATACAACACACACACTGCATACACCAATACAACGCACACACTGCATAAACTAACACAACACACACACACACTGCATACACTAATACAACACACTGTATACGCTAATACAACACACACGCTGCATACACTAATACAACACACACACTGAATACACTAACACACACACACACCGCATACACTAATACAACACACACTCTGCATACACTAATACACTAATACAACACACACACTGCATACACTAACACAACACACACACACTGCATACACTAATACAACACACACACTGCATACACCAATACAACACACACCGCATACACTAATACGACACACACTCTGCATACACTAATACAACACACACTCTGCATACACTACCCTGACACACACTCTGCATACACTAGTACAACACACACTCTGCATTCACCTCACTGACACACACTCCACATGCAGTACACACTAACACACTCTGCGTTCACTACACTAACACACACTCTGCATTCACTACACTGACACACACTCTGCATTCACTACACTGACACACAGTCTGCATTCACCTCACTGACACACTCTCTGCATTCACTACAATAACACACACTCTGCATTAACTCTACACACAGCATCCACTACACAAACATCCTGTATTCACAGTACACACACTACATCCACCACAAATTGAAACACTCTGCGTTCACTATACACAGACACTGCATCCACTAAACACATTTCATCTAGTACACACAAACACTACATCTATACAAACACATTACATCACTGTACACACACTACATCCACTACTCAAACACACTCTTCATTCACTATACACACTGCATCCACTACACAAACACACACTCTGCATTCACTGCACAAACAGTATCTAATACACACAAACACTACATCCATTACACACATTCTAATTCACTTCCACTATACACACCACATTCCGTCCTGCATCATTGTCAGCAGACTAGGTAGGGCGTGGGAGGGGAAGGGGCCCCAAAGTTTCTGATGGCGGCCCTGTGCATATGCATTAATAATTTTCATGAAGATTTATTTAATTTGCTGAAATGTTTCAGTCTCTCACCAAATGCTATACATCCTCCCCCTTCTATCTATTGCTCCTCCCTCATTCCCTACAAAAAAAAACACATATTTTGTGGATTTTCAAGTTCTTCGGTGTTCCTACTTTCTGCAAATCCATACCTGCACTCTGATTTCCCCCATGAAAACCAAACAATTCGGGGGGGCGTGGCAGACCACCGAGCAAGATGACCACTTAGGATTCTGCTCCGGCACATGGGCTCCACAATACAGCGAAAAAAACTGAGCAGAAACACCACCAATCAACTTGCCTAAGGCAAAAAACACAACTTCTTCGGGCAGAAATTATCCGCCACAATGGAGAATGTACAGGTTGCGCAAACCGCCACACAAGATGGAGACTCTGACATGGGCTCTCCCGCTATGCCACTTGACGAGCAACAAAGAAATGAGTACCTCACGAAAGACCACTTTGAACAGGCAATAGAGGCGATGTCAGCAAAACTAATACAGACTTGGCAATCTACAGCAGACCAAATTAAAAAGGAAGTCAGGGATCTTTCAAACAGAACATTGTCAGTAGAAGCACAGTGTCAAGACTTAACCACCACACAAACCGAGCTATCAGACCACATACAAATCTTACAACAAAAAGTAGAAGAAATGGAAATCAGAATGGCAGACTACGAGGATAGAGCGAGGAGAAACAACTTGAGGCTGAGGGGAGTCCCAGAGTCTGTTCAACCCGACGACCTACAATTATATGTAAGGGGCCTAATGTCCCTGACATACCTGCGGACATGTTGCTAATAGACAGAGTCCACAGGGTAACAAAACCGAAGCATTTACCTGACTCTGCACCCCGAGATGTCTTGTTCAGGGCACACTACTTTCATATCAAGGAACTCTTACTCCGGGCTCACCACAACAAACAAGATCCTCATGAGGAATACCCATCAGTGCGCATTATGGCGGATCTATCGGCAGCAACACTGCGGAGGAGAAGGGACTTCCAGCAAGTCACAACGGAATTGAGGAACCAGGTCATACGCTACAGATGGGGCTTCCCCACGAAACTTATCCTGACAAGAAATGGAGAAGCGAAATTCTTCTCTACGCCAGAGGAAGCCATGAAAGAGCTGGCGAAATGGGGCCCATGCAACAAACAGAGCTTCTCACCTAAATCCTCCTCACAAAGCTGCAAAACTACAAGATCTGACCGCAGGAACTGATCATTAAGAGGCAAAACTATGTCGCAAGTATACTAACAAAACAGTTATTTTTATGTTCTAACTTTAAAATGTTCCAAATTATTGTTTAAATAATTGTTATAACATAACACAGATAAGCCTGCTTTAAACGCAATTGCTACCAATGACCACAGCCAGACCACAGCGCTCAGCAGCCAGGTGATAGCATATCAGGCGGGTAGCAACCAAACAACCCAAAAGTAGGGGCACACTCCCCGAGCCTAGACAGGGCACAGGGCTCCCCACCAACATGTAGGAGACGTGTGTCCCACTTATATGCCAAACCCAACTTTAGGCAACATACAATGGGTCGACCCCCCCCTTCCCGCCCGCCACCTGAAAGGTGACAGCCTGGCAAATAAGTATGGAATCCGGGCACGAAATTAGACAGATACCTCCTCCAGCTGAAGGGGAAACTACCCACCCACGGGCAGACATCTAAAATAGCGCTGCTGCATAAAAGTTAAACTTAACAATATGAGGCGTACTAACTTGAAGGCAACACCAACATTTACACTGTTAAAAATGTTACATGTCTCTTGATGTTTATAGTATTGTAATGATGTTTATTGCACTGAAATGACACTCATTATATAGCAAAGACGTTTATTGTACTGAAATATCTTCCTTCAAGCTCGACTGTTGCTCTAGTACACTGCAAGTTTCTGTTCTAACCCACATCACATATCGGAGTCCCACCAGCCACCCAATTGGAAGTTTTTCAACTCCAATCCCCCACGGTACGACTAGCGTACCAGACCGAGAAGGGTCTACTGTAAATACCAATACTTTCCCTCCCACAGACTAAAGCGAAGCTAGCATATGCTACCCCTTGCGTAATAACAGACAGCACCACGCAGGATAACTCTGGCACTGGAAGCGCCCTCCTAACCCTATAACAACTCAACGAATGAGTAACCTTTAAAGCAACGCAAACCAGAGTAAATAACCTAACATGACAATATAAGCAGACATAAAGGGATGACCACACAATCACTAATAATGTGTACATACTGTGTAAGCTTGCATGTCTGTTACAAAGCACCATTTGCAAAAAATAATACACCCGCTATGTAAGTGCTGTATACAATTGTTGTGTTCCCCCCTTTTCTTTTTCTGTATCCCCCATACTTCGCAACTCGACAAAAAAAAAAAAAAATTCCAAAATTGTGCTACCACCAACCCACTCACCCTTAACCCCACTCTCTTTATATCATGTTCCTTCTAAATTTAACAATTTAACTAACTCCCAATCTGTTTGGTATCTACATATGTCCAATCAGCTTCAAACAACTCCTTCAAATTAAAGGGACAATATAGACATCAAAACAAATTTAGATAAATGAAGCAGTTTTTCATACAGATCATGCCTCTGAATCAATTCACTGCCATTTAAGAGTTAAATCACTTTTATTTCTCTTTATACAACCCTAGCCACACCTCCCCTGGCTGTGACTGACACAGCCTGCATGAAAACAAATGGTTTAATTTTTAATCAGATGTAACTTTAAAAGTGTTTATCTCCTGCTCTGTCAGTTGAACCTTGATTACATACAGCAGGATACTGCAGGGTCTACAAAGCTATCAACAGAGCAGGAGATAAGAGATTTTAAATAAACAGAATTTGTAATAAAGGAAGTATAATCATTAGATGACTGTTTACAGGAATTGTTTAGGAAGGCATAGGAAGTCACATGCAGGGAGGTGTCCCCAGAGTTGCATAAAGTGATTTTTTGTTTTGTTAACTATAGTGTCCTTTTAATGTCTCATCCCATTATTACCTCTAGTGATTGCAACATACATTTTAGGGTTTATTAATGAACTAATATATTGAAGTAATCTAATATCTCAATAGAAAAATGCAGGCTGTGACCAAGCTTTAATTACAGTTGAATTATTTAAAATGTTTCCAAATCTAACACTTTTTACCTAAAATTCACTACAATGTTCTGCTTAGTAAAACCCCCCAAAGAGACGGACAGACAGTTAGAAAAAAGACTGACATTCTAGCAAGTGGATAACCTGACAGAGAGACACAAAGAGGCAAACACAATGCTAGGAAAAAACTATAGAAGGGACCAGAAACACAGCATCAAGGCTTACTTATATTTTATAACATTTCAAATGATGCATGCCTAAGATAGCCACAGAAACATTAGGGTTTCAATTAACTAGGGAATTTCCCATTTTACACCAGAATGGATCAGGGGCTTAAGACACCAAAGTCCTCCCAGCAACAATGTATGTATTATACATATACTCCACTTAATTCTTTGAGTGTCATTAATGTATAAATCTATGTATTGGCACTCAGAAGATTAAAGCAGTTTTCCACAATGATCTTTAAAATGTCATCTGGAAGTTTTATGTAAATTACCGACTCTTTTGTGAGCATTCTTATATTCCTTAACACATTTACACATAAATAGGGCACTGAAATAAGGCACTTCTGACAGGGAGGGATGTAAAACCAGGGGGGTTGGCCTGGATCCCAGATATAGGTATATTTGAAAATAAGAAAGCTGCACTCCCCTGAACATGCATACATTATAAGGTTGCTACTGGTGCCAATTTATACAACATGCAAGATCCAGTGCAACTCCTCGGTTTTGAACCCATCCCTGTCACAGGTGCCTCATTCCAGGGCCCTATTTAAACTTGCACAGCAGAGAGTCCCAGGAGGAATGATTTCCCAAGTAAAGGATTAATCTCATAAGTAGTGATGTCCCGAACGGTTCGCCGAATGGTTCGCGAACGGTTTGCCATGGACTCATCATTGAGTAAACTTTGACCCTGTACCTCACAGTCAGCAGACACATTCCAGCCAATCAGCAGCAGACCCTCCCTCCCAGACCCTTCCACCTCCTGAACAGCATCCATTTTACATTCATTGTGAAGCTGCATTCTTAGTGAGCTCTCCAGGAGTTGGGAGGGTCTGGGAGGGAGGGTCTGCTGCTGATTGGCTGGAATGTGTCTGCTGACTGTGAGGTACAGGGTCAAAGTTTACTCAATGATGAGTCCGTGGCGAACCGTTCGCGAACCGTTCGGGACATCACTACTCATAAGAGCAAGCATTAGGCTGCTAGAGTAGGACCTGCTGAAAATGGGGTACATTGACATTCTGAACACCTAACCTAGGCAAAAATTGTAGGGTTTAACCTCTTAAGGACCAAACTTCTGGAATAAAAGGGAATCATGACATGTCACAGGGGTTAAAAAAAACCTATTACATTCTATGAGTTTTAAAATTGCAGTTTAGTGAGTGCACTGGATCGTGTATGTTGTATGAATTGGCCTGAGCAGCATCCTTATAATGTATACATGTTCAGGTGAGTGCAGCCCTTTTGTTTGTTTATATATATATATATATATATATATATATATATATATATATATATAAAAAATTCAATGCTATCATGGCTATCCTAAAAATAAAGAGACGTATGATTTGTAATTATAAAATATAATAGCTTAAAAATGGTTTTATTGTAGTGTAGGCAGTACATCTAGTAAGAATGTTTTCATACACTGACTGTGTACTTTGAGATAATGTTCTAATTAACCTAATTGCAGCCAATATATTGAGCTTCGAGTTGAGATCCAACTTCCATAGCAACTAGAAGAACTGTGTGGGTTTATGCAGTGCTTTCCCTGTATAGTCTCAAAAAATAGCTCTTTATTACAGGAAACAGGGAGGTAAATCCTCTTAACAAGATAAAGCTTGAACTAAGAAAGAATTTTGTCCCCTTGCACTTGCTGATAATGTATAAATTAAGCAGTGATGCTTCAATTTAATTAGCATAAGTCATCATAATAATGTACCCTGTGTTTGCTTTCCCTATGCAGTGCAAAACTCCTCTGCTTTAGGGATTTACAGTAAACCATTGAATAGTAAATGCTTCGTTTTATAGGAACACATTCTATAAAACCAACTGATGGCATAAAATAATCCATCTCAACATTTTAAAGATTTGATCGTGGGTGATATTAAATTATTCAGGGAAAAATAATCTAAGATGCTATAAATGTTTATGAGCAATCTATGCTTTGGAAAGTGATTTAATAAAATCCGTAGGACTTTTTAAAACAAGTTTTATTGATAGGCACATTGAATAAAATATCTACAGGAAAAATCCCATTCAGCTCTTCAGGCAGAAAATATACTTTTTCAGGTGGGGCAAGAAGACAGTTCTGAACATTTTAATAGTTAACTGATGTTCTTAATAATATTTTCTATAAATAGCTATGACAATGTACTGAACACACATAATCACTTTTAATCCCATGACAATGAGTTTTGTAGCTGCTGAAATGTATTTTATAATTATAAAAAAAGCTCTATATGCAATATCCACACATAAAAAAAAGCCATTATCTATATTTAACGCGTATAAAGCCACTGGGAAAGACCCTCTTAGAGCACCTGCACATAAAATACACACTCATTTTTTTAATGACATTGCACTATTATACATAATGCAATTAAACGAAATAACCAGTTGTTTATTGCCATATTGATAATTAAGGCACAGACCCTCTAAACCGCTCCACTACCAGAAT